ATTAGCCATTCCTTAGGCCGAGCACAGCCTAGTGGCTGGTGTACTGTACCGCGAAGCTGAGGATCCATATTTTGCGTTGCAAAAGAAAAAAAAAAGTGCTCTGCACTTTGTGTCTGTGGATGCGTTATAAGAGTGATGGTCAAATTCCAGTATGGTCTGATGAGAGTAACCCAAGAGTTAGCTGTGGGTGCTGTTGACTAGCTGTCACTCCAAAATTAGGAGTGGCTAGTGCAAATATCCGTAGTGTAACTTTGCACGAAATCTACCAGAACAAACAACCCTTTCCATGTGAACTTTCTGGCTTCTCGGTATCCTTCGTGGAACAGTAATCACAGTTTGAAGTATTGAAGCATTCATTCAGTTCAGAACATCTTTAAACACGGCTCAGCTCTGAATAATATGTTGTGACTTATAATCGGACATTAATGCTTTAAAAAGTATGCATTTATAATTTTAGTTTTGTAGAGTAGGATCAGATGGAGAGCGTGTATGTGAACTTATATAATAAGTGGTAGTTTGATGTAAAACAATAATACACATGAAGGCAGAGGATCAGTTCGCACATTACCTTCTGAGGAGATTGTTCGAGTGCAAGTAAAACCATTTGATAATTGGGAACGTAAATCAAAATTATGAGATGTGGCCTGTAGTTAGAAAAGTTAGTTTTATATCTTAATATATTTTATTATCCCAATTTAAGAATTGTGTTATATTCCTTATTTTAGTCTTTGAGCTACAGTAGCGATCCCTCTCCGTCTTCTGCCACTGCTTGTGATCCTGGTGTCGTAATTCCTAGGGTGGGGACTCTTATTCCTAATAGGATATTTGTTGGAGGAATATCACCAAATGTAAGTGAATTTTCAACTATTTATAGGTGTTAGTGATTTTGTGTATATATAAATCTAATGGACTAGCCTAGAAATCAGTCCAAGAGACCTTACTTTTAACAGTTGAACATGTACCTAGTTCACGATGTAACAAGCCATTTGAAATTTAACATTGGGCAGTTTAACTAACCATGTACTAGTTCCATATTGTGTTTGTAAATAAATTTTGTCATTTTTCACATTTGAATAAATTAATGCAGGTAAACTATATGAAACAGAGCACTTTTGAGTAGTCGACTGTTCTTCTTCAGGAGAACAATGGGTGATGATTAGTGGGTGCAGTGTAATATACGGCTACAGATGTTGACGTTACGTAAGCCAGATGTTCCAGATGGGTTGCCCTGTACCTGTATATTAAACTATACTTACTAATTCTCACCCTTTGTTCTCCTGAAGAAGAACAGTCAACTGTTCAAAAGTATTCGAGTGTTGGGTGTTTTTGTGTGCTAATTCTTTTATCAGAAAACATAGAACACAACGGTTATGCAAAAACAGTAGTTCATTTTCTAGATAATTGTAGTACTTCTATAGGTTGTATTTTAGAATAAGTAATTATGAATTTGACTTATGTATAATCCTTCAAATTTTTATACCTCTCCATCAAAATTTTAAGAGAATTCCAAGTTACTGCATATACTATTCCACAAACTTATAAACCAGTCAAAGAACAAGTATGTATCGTAACTACTAAAGCTTAAACCTTGATATTCAAGTTAACATTTACTCGTGGTGTCTGGTTCGTTATTAACGAAGACTTGATATTCACAGAAACTTGTTAGGGAAATGTATTCTCACTGAGGATGCGAAGAACCATAGTAGATGATGTTTTAGACCTTGGTTTTTAATAGTGAGGAAGATGTATTATATGTGAATAGTTATGCATTTTATAAATAATAATGTTATATTTCTTCTGAAGAAGAGTTACTACTGGGTACAGTGCAGTATCTAGGAATTTATTATAGTCAGACATTCATTCTCTTCTAAAAAATAAGATGGACTGTATGTGGAGTGAGCCCTTTTTCTGTTGGAAAAGGTCCATGAAAATTAACAAAAACAAATTTTGTTGCCTTGACCTCCTTCTTTTGCACATCTGCCAATTCCAAAGTTTGAAGATTCTTAGCCATTAAACATTCCCTTTCTCTTCCACATGTACCAGTTTGAAAATTTGTAGCCATTAAACATTCCCCTCTTTCCCACATCTATCAGTTCCAAAGTTTGAAGATTCTTAGCCATTAAACATTCCCCCTCTTTCCCACATCTATCAGTTCCAAAGTTTGAAGATTCTTAGCCATTAAACATTCCCTTTCTCTTCCACATCTATCAGTTCCAAAGTTTGAAAATTCATAGCCATTAAACATTCTTTTTCTCTTGCTCATGTGCTGGTTTCAAAGTTTGAAGATTTGTAGCCATTAAACATTCTTTTTCTCTTCCAGATGTACCAGTTCCAAAGTTTGAAGATTCTTAGCCATTAAACATTCCCTTTCTCTTCCAGATGTACCAGTTCCAAAGTTTGAAAATTCATAGCCATTAAACATTCTTTTTCTCTTGCTCATGTGCTGGTTTCAAAGTTTGAAGATTTGTAGCTGTTAAAGATTGTCAGCCGTGATCATTCTAAGGTTTCGAGGCTTTTCATCCTTAAGTACATTTATGACTATTCTTTTTTTCTGTGTAGGTTCTCAGTTTACACTCTTACTGATGGATTTGTCAGTAAGTTTAGAATTGATTTGATTGTATACCTTGTTTTGCTGAAGATGCTTCAATCACTAATTTGTTATTATTGAAAAATCTTTCTGATTTATTCTTTTTTGCTATAGACAATAGAAGAAGATCTACGAGACTTATTTTCCAAATATGGCAGTGTGAAATTTGCAAAGGTCATCGTTGATCGTGCTGGAGTTTCCAAAGGGTTAGCTCTTCTTTCTGTTAAGTATCATACCAATTTATATTACAATATTTAGCAATCTGTCATTATATTTTCTAATAATTTTTAAAAGCCAACCTGCATTTAACATTTCAGTTTCATAACATGGCTATTTCCTTGGTGTACAGCAAGGTTTTGGTTTTACCAACATTATTTTGTATTGCATCAAAGTACTTGGACATACAAAAATGGCAGTTAGTTTACTGTAAATTTGAATTGGACCAGTTTGCTTTGTACAAGTCAAGTTTTTCGTAGTTGTTGATGTGCTTTAAATTATAAAAATCTGAAGTGAAATAAAGACAGTTTTGTGGTTTGTGTGGCAGACTGTGGATCTGGGATTTTGTGGTTAGCACCCCATTACAGTAATAAAAGGTAATTGCCTTCTGTACTTTAGGTCCATGGGCATGTTGTAAAAAAAAGTGATGGTCAAATCCTGCTATTGGTCTGAAAGGAGTATCCAAGGAGTTGGAGATGGATGGTGTTGGCTAACTGCCTTCCGTATAGTCTGTCACTTCAAAGTTAAATACATCCGCCTCAGTTAGCCCTCGTTTATATTTGTGCAAAAGTCAACAAGTAAACATCTTTATTTTATTCAACTTGTGCAAATGGCCTTATACATGGGTTTCCAAGTTTATTAATTGAAAAGCATTTTACACCACAAACTAAATAAGATAATTATAGAAACCTAAATTTATAACATTATCCATTAATACAAGGTATATTTTTGTTTTAACAGTCTGCCACAGAAATAGATCTGAATGACACAAAAACTGATGTAAAAAATAGTTGCATTAAGAATTGACAGAAACAAAATATGTACAATAAGCCTGTAATAAATCAAGGCTGTCACAAAATTTTAAGTGTGATCAACCTAACATGGAAAGGCATGTATCAGAACTAAGTTTTGACATTGATATTTAATAGATTGTGTGACGTCACAAAAAATTCATCACTTTTGGGAAAAGTTTGTAATGGTTCTTTCTGATGCAAAATCTTCACACTTCCTTACCTTAGATGTGTTCACTTCAGGGATTTAGAATTTTTAAGAAGGGGATATCTCTTGTACTTAATGGTATTGAAAAACAAAGAAATATGGATCATCTTGGGGTACCAAGAACGTCCAAAAAGAAACTAATAAGTCATACTCCACCCATGTTAAGCAAACTATGGCAACTTGTAATGGAAACTACACTCCAGGGCTTTTATCAAGATGCACATTTGTGAAATAGAGTATGATTGGATGTGGTAACTGACTGTAATGGCTGGTGAGGCTATAAGATAATTTTAATATAACATATTCATACATAATATAACTCTCTATCTTTTAGCACTTGAGTTATTTCTTTAACACTTTCTTATTTAGTACTTAGCCTTTAGCCTTTTCACAATAAACTGTTGATTCCTGACTAGTTTTTAGAAATTGCTAGCTGAGCAGGAGCCCTGGTATTAGGCTAAAGGTCTTGTTGTCATTGCATATAATGTAGTTAACATTAGTATGTTCTTCTTTACTCATACGTAGTGTGTTTGACATGTTGTTACATTCTTCTTTACTTTCATAAATCTTTATAATAATCTAAATGAAACTGCTTCACACCAGAATTACTTACTGGTGCTATAATTACAAGAAGTCATATCAAGAACACTGTTGGAAGTAATTGTAGTAAAGTATGACGCAGACAACCGTAAGGACGTACATGCACATACATTTTAATATCAAAAAGTAATTATTCTTAAAACAAAAAATATTTAGTTGTGATTTTTTTTCTTCACTAAATGTGTAGTTTCAGTGAAAAGAAGAAAGAAACCATGAATAACGTAGAGACCTAATTTTTAGTAATCATTACTCCCTGTGCAGTAGACTGGATTTTCTGAATCGCAGCAAATCAATACTGCTAGGGAGGGAGGACTAAAGAAATACAGTTCGGCCTGTTATAGTGGTGGAATACAAACGGTTTGTAGGTTTTGATGTAGAATTCTAATCCATCTACATGCAATTTATAATCTTATTATAAGAAAACTTAAGGTCATAAAGGATATTCAGATCAAAATCTACAAATTATTTAGTTAGTATTAACTAACTACCAAAAAAAAACAAGTAAAAATTACGAACACTACAGTATATATTATGAAGTTCTGCTTGTGTAACTGGAGAATTTATTTAAACAAGGAGAATATTACAAGCTATAAAGCATCTCCTCACATAAAAAACTACTGTATTTCCGCTAGGAATGGACAAAATAGCTAAGATAAGTTAAATAATATTTCTAGTTTTTTCTTACAAAGACTATCAACCTTTCTATCTTAATAAAAAAAACACATTTGGGTCAAAATATGAAAATTAGAATGATTTTTTTTGGTTTTTTCCTTAGAGTATTCCAAAAATATTTTAGTTTCTAGTTTAAGTTCAAAGTGACGAGGGACCATGCTATTTATACCAGTAGAGGGTGCCAGTAGCAATGTGGTCATTGTTTATAGTGTGATACCAAGATGTTTATATTCTTTGTGTTCTTTGTCTTTACTTGTTATCATACTTTCTGTTTGTTTCATAAATATAATATAATAATAATTAATAGTTTAAAAATGTCTTAAGCAACTTATCGTGTGCCTGGATGTTCTAAGAGAGGTGGTCATTTGTGGCCTTCAAATCTGGAATTGTCTAGAAAATGGCTTCAGAAGGGACCAGTGGAAACCGAAAAAAGGAGTTGTTTGTCATGACCACTTCGTGTTTCACATCTATGTATCTGAAACTAGCTATAGTAGGCTTATATATAATAAAGTTTTCAATAATTCTGCTTTTCATTTAGAAATTTATATAAAATTATTCCCATTTTATAACCTTTTTCATGTTGAGTCAAGTTTTGAAATTTTATTTTCAAAATACACTCCCCTAGCACGTCCAATTTAGCTAGGCTTAGTCTACAAATTTATTTTTATAGACCTATGACTAGGCTTATGTAATTTTATAGACTAGTATTTCCATAATACTTATGTAAATATTATAAAAGTAATATATATATATAATTTTATTTTGTTGTTTTGACCTTCACCCCAAAGAAAAGTAAAATCAGGTGCCGTTCCGATTGTGTTCAGCTGGTCCAAGACAATCACACCACAGTCCATAAGAAGGACCAAGTGAGCACTGAAATGGATAAAAGGCTTAAAGCAGCCAGTAGTCAACACACTCAAGGAAACTATCCTCACCCTAGGCCTATAAAATATCAGTGACAGTGCCAAATACAAATATTTAAATGTGAACTAAAGTTAATCATTATCGTTATTTTCATTCAATAGCTACAATTATACCGTTTTATTAAGCAATTTAGAACAAGGTTCTTACCATCATATTGAAACTATGCTTGTTTTAATGTAACAAAACAATAGTTTGACACTGTATTATTGCTGATATTATTTTGTTTACCCGTTGATCAAATCGGCTTTTCGCCAGTAGTTTTAGCTGCATTTAAATTCCGTATTAATCATGCAAAGATTCCAATTTTCACTAATTTTAGTGAACTTTGTAAAATAAATCTCAGGAAAAACAAGTGAAATTCACGTACTGTTCAAACAGGCTTATTGACTGACCAAGTGCTGAATTGCAAAGCATGCTGACCCAATGCTGGGACCATTTCGATACTGGCACCACCGTGCATCAGCAGCTTCGCGCACGATCCCTCATTGTTCTATCATCAAGTATACAGTATTTGTTTTCAAAGCTTAAAATTATTTATTTACAGTTAACCTATTCTTACTTTATTGTATGTCAAAGCAAAGTCCAGTTTTTCCAACAGAAGTAATTCATGCTTCTGTATAAGTTAAGAGTTTTTTAAGTTTAGTTATAAAATTCCTGTTATTGATGTTCTTTAGGTATGGTTTTGTGACATTTGAAACTGAAGAAGAAGCTAAACAAGTCCAGAAAGAGGTGAGACTGAATTTTTGTTCCTTTTCCATTGACCAATAGCTGCATTTTAATTTTTCTTAGGATTTTATTCCAGTTGGTACTCAAAACGTGTTTCCTGTTAGATGTCCGTATTATTAAAAAACTTTTAAACTGGCAAAACTATCTACAGTAAACATTTTGAATTTAATGTTAAAGTCCTGGACTAATCTTTGTAACTTAAGTAACTTTAAAAAAACACTACTATTTACAAGTAGGGTTGAACTGGAAAAATACATATATTTCTATAAGGTAAAAATTCTGTTGTTGAAGCTTGTGTGTTTGTGTAGATAATAGATAATCCAGGTATCTGTTTTTTATGTATTGTTTGAAAGAGAAAGTAGAAGTAAAGTATATTTGTTATTTGAAATTTTCTTGGTTTTCTTAACCTTTTACTTGATTTATGCTGTTTGTTCTTAACCTTTTACTTGATTTATGCTGTTTGTTCTTAACCTTTTACTTGATTTATGCTGTTTGTTCTTAACCTTTTACTTGATATGCATTAGTCTTCATGGTAAACAATAATTGACCAAGTAATGAACTTTTATATTAAGTGCATTGTAGAAAAACAAAACATTATATGCAAAGATTTTTTGGTTGATTTTTCATAAAATATTTTATAATAAAGATATCTTTGTCCGTGGTTTCTTTTACATGTAATACGAGACCAATGTATGTTTTCTTATAGTAATAATAATAAAGATGTCATTTTCTTACATGATTGATCTAATTTTCACAGTATACACATTTATTTAGGCTTAAATCCTTTTATAAAATTGTTCGTTATTTGAACTACCTCTTAAGTATAGTTTTAATGCATCCCAGGTGTAATAGGAACTTTTGAAAGTCATTCATTTTAACTGTTTTATTTTGGTTTATGTGTCTCGTAAATTAGATACTACTGCCTTCAATTTGATTTACGTAAATGTTTGCATACTGATGTTATTTCTTTGATATATTTGTAAGAAAGCAGGGTTGAAATAATCTGTACGTTACATAAGATGTAATCTAATAAAATCAAGAGAAGTGGTACATTAAGAAATGTTTTTTTATGGTGATTTAACTGGTTTTTGTTTGTTTGTTTTTTTCATCAGGCTTAACAATTACACTTGATGCAAATAGTTTTAGGGAATTTTATTATTTTAATTGTAATTACACAAAATTAAAGTCAAATTTTCATAAAAGGGATCTCATGTTTGAAAGTTTAAAGAAACTATGCCCTTTTTCTGCTAGAAATGTTATCAGACTTATTGACGCTAGTTCAAGTTGATTTTCAAGTATGAAGTTAAGATCCGTGGATTAAGTTTAGTTTCAGTAAAAGAGAAACATTATTAACACTGAAAGTTGTTTATGTTTCACAGAATTGATTTTGTGTTGCAAGTATGATAGAATTATTGCTCGTTGACGTGTTATTTGTAACTGTTTAGTGGTTAATAAATGTTGGTACTCTAAATTAAAGAACTTGATCCAAACACCTACTTACTAATATTTATCTGATATCAAAGAAAAGGGGGATTTGTAAACATGTAATTAAATGGAGTATGTTTCCAGTGTTGACGCTTGGCACAAGCAGACTAAGCAGTTGCTAAGGGCCCCCGAGTAACTCAAGGGCTCCGTGATTCGCAGAGATTTTGTTTTTCATTATTGTCATCAGAACTTTGACTTTTGTCCGTCTTAGTATTGTACTCATTGGGAAAAAAGAAAAGAAAAAAGTTTTGAGGTGAATGCAATCAAAAAACATATCACTCAGTACCAGATGGACATTTAAATATTGCACCAGGAAGACACTCCTGTCAGGCACACGTGCAATGCACTTGTGCTGATAGGTTGCGAAGTGCTGTATGTGCACAGTGTGTATGAATTCGGAAAGATATCAGCACAATGATGGTATTAGTGTGTGAGTAGAAGTGCCTTTTAGTTTATGGAAATATTCAAATTAGTTTTATTTTAAGGGGGTGGATGAGGGGGTTCAAGAATATTCCTGCTTAGGGCTCCCAGTGAGATAGTACCATCCCTGTAGGTCACTATACATTTTGTATTGTTCTCTTGAATTTGTTATTTCTAGTGGATACCGTAGACACCTGAGCAACTGCCTGTTGTAGAAACACAAGTATAGAGGACCTGAAGATGAAAGACAGAAGACTTTTGAAACATCATCCTCTACACCTGTGTTTTTATAACAGTCAGTTGCTGTCCATTCCAGTCTACTCATCAAGATAAGTCCATTCTAATATATTCATTATGGATTCTCTGCCCAAACAATCTATCAAAGAATTACTGTTACATTATTTTTATTGACATTATTTCATTGTTAAGATTTCTTAAATACCGATTTACCTTCCTAGGCTGAGAACATAGTGTTAAAGGACAGAAAATTAAACATAGCACCAGCAGTAAAAAAACAGGTTAGTTGGGCTTGATCTGTATCATTTAGTTTTTGAGTGTGAGCTTTGATGCAGCAAATCTGTTGAAAGTAGAACTACGGTATTAAGAAGATCCATTAAACTTTGTTAACTACACGAACTAGTAATAAGGCTTATTTAGAAAATAATTTATAATTACTTGTGTTAGTATTGTATTACAATGTATTAATAACTCCAAAAAAAAGTTTCAATGATTTGATGAGTTTTAGTAAAGAAACATTAAAATGTTCTTACTGTGTAATGCTATAAGGGTAAACAGTAAGCATTGTTTTTTTCTAGGTTATAGAAACTTATTACAAGAGATAGTATTGCTAAGAATATATGTTTCTGCCTAATTTGAAATCAAAATTGCTGCCAAAGTTAGGATTTGAAATCATAAATGTTTTGACACATTTTAATATATTTTGCTAGATTGATTAATAGTTTTTTTTCCGTTAATACAATTGCGAGTGATGATACGTGATATACAAAATATTTCTAGACTCCGTTAGACACTAATATTTACAAACAATATTTACTCGAAAACATTTTGTATTTTGATCAACATTACTCGTTGCTCGTGTTCACTTTCAAAGATTAAATTTTGGTTTTTACATTTTATTAAACTTGTAAGAGAATGATGCATGCAAAAATATAAAGAATTTAAAAATTATCATAAAGTAAAAACAAAAATTGGCTTAGTTTTTTATGTAATATGTTATTATTAATTTCAGCCCCTCGCGAGAGCCTATGGTAAGTTTTGATTTCTAAGTCTTATGTTTTAGTAGTAAAGCATGCAGGTAGTTCTGGTTTAGTATTGAAGTTACTCCCTGAAAAATGTTTGTATAAAAAATAATTGTACTTAGGTTCCAAGGATAATATTCCAAGATTGTCCTACTAATAACAATGAACTTCAGCTGAATATACCTGGGATTATTCACTTACTAAGAGAATTATTACAAATAAGAACGTGGTGATTTAAGAAGGGTGTATGAATAATTGTTTGAACTTGTAAGTCTTAAAGTTTACAGTTAGAATAATATCCTTATTATCAGCCTTTACCTAGGTACTGTAACTGTTAATCTCAGAGTAACGATAATTCAAACTGGTCTCTGGCTAATAACTTGATACATGAGTTCTGAAAATTTTTTAAGTTGAGTTTTTTAAATACAAAACTTGTTATGGTATACTTAATGAGGCTAGCATCATTTTTGTTTTCAAAGTAAAACTTGAGTCATTGTTGTGGTTGTCAAACTCGTACGGCATATACACCTTTTCATTAAATTTGTAATACCAAATTATAAAGAAATTCAACAGATGTGTTTGTTAGGATAATAATTATATACCAACTACCTTTTAAGACCGTGAAAGTCTTTAAATC